CGTTTTCTACTGGGAAAACTAGTGCAATATTGGTGCACACTGAGTGTAATTTTATTATTCATATGTGAAAATCAGTTTACATATTTTCAGTGTTGTTCTACTGATTGTGAGTATAATTTGACAAATTGTTGTCAGTAGAACATTAAACACTGAAAATAAGTGAACTGATTTTCACATTAGAACAATAAAATTGTACTCAATGTACACCAGTGTTGCACTAGTTTTCCCAGTAGAAAACGCTGTTAAGGCCATGGCACACAAAAAACTTAAACAGTAAGACATAAGCAGTAAGGAAATCAACAGTTTGGATTCGCTACCGCCTACGTTATGTCTTAAGTTCTTGATTGTGATTGGCTGATTTGCTTACTGCTTATGCCCCAGTTTCACAAGTGTCGGTTAACTTTTAACCTTAAATTAACTAAGGGAGACGTTAAAAGGAGACGAAGAGTGAGTTAATCTAAGGTTAAAAGTTAACCAACACTTGTGAAACTGGGCCCAAGACTTATTGCTTAAGATTTTTTGTGTGCAACGGCCTTTAGTTTCTCTTGAGCATCTAAACGAGATGGGTGGCGTCATCTATCACAAACGACGTCAAACTGTGACAGAATATAACGAATGTCACGTAGATAAAACAGTCGCTCTTTATACCGACGACTATACGCGATTTCAGCGCAAATAGAAAAAAAACATTGCAAATATAAATAGAAAAGACCATTCGATATTGATTTCTTGGAACACTATGTCATTATACATGCACCAACTTACGCTGGTCTAAAAAATTATTTAGTCGTCTTATCCGAACTTATGAACGATAAACAAAATAGGTTCAATTCTGTTCATAAAGAAATTTTTCTTCGAAATTCTCAATCTCTAATTATTTGGACACTTTGCTTTCTCAGTTAATATTTAATATTAATATTTATAATCATTATTGCCAAGCAGATGCATATCGCGTACCCTTTAACAAAATGACAGAAAATATGCAAATAAATTTTGAGAAAAGAAACCTTAATGTTTTCGATAACTCGCTCAACAAATAAAATATCTCCACTTACCTTGTAAGTTGTCCAACATATACGTCAGCAGCTTGTTTGTCCCCGCAGGCTCTCCATTCCCGTACAACGTCATCACATCCTTGCTGAGCGGATTTCCTTGAAGTCCGAGCACTTGTAACTGGAACAACTTTCCTAGTTCGTACGGTAACACGCGAAGATAGTTTTGGTTCAATAACAACTCCCTGGAACAATACGATAACAGATTTCACATTAAAAAAAAAGAACTACCGAGTTTGTTATAAAAGTGAACGTTTCTTTGTTTCCTTGTGTCTGTTCTGGCATACCTGAGGTAGATGAGCTCCCCCAGTTCAGCAGGCAGACTGCGCAGCTTGTTGCTACTGAGATCCAGAATACGCAGGTTGACAAGACGGCCAATCTCAGACGGCACTCTCTGCAGGCTATTATCGTTCAGATACAAAGCTGTTAGATGAGTCATCTGCCACAAGTTGGGGCTCAAGTTCCTTATACTGCCTGTTATCTCCAACTCCGACCAATGAGATTTCTTCCCCGATTGATAGTCCTCAGGACACATGAGTGTATACATACGACGCGGGTTGGAGTTCTCATATTTGTCCTTGTGATTGCGGGACATGTTATAATATTCTACAAAAGAAAATAAAAGATTTTTTTTTAAATAAGAACATCATGTATTTGTGATCTTTTGTAGTTTAAATAACATTATAGCATATATCTCTCAGATACAATTCCTTACATAGTAAAAAGGTAAAGGAAATCATTTTATATAGTTATAAGAATCAGCTTATTAACTATTAAAATTTGAATAGTTAACACAGACAATGATTCTTATATTACTTGATACTATTTATCAGGTACATGTAGACTATATTGCTTTTGAGAAATTGGAAAGGAAAAGATGTATTTGAGAGACACACATAACAGAATTGACATGATTAATACTGGTGATAAGTCAGTCAGTCAAGTAGGTAGAACAATTTTACATCCCAGTCTACAGGAAAGAAAACAGAAAATGCAGATGCTTGTGACTCTACCAGGTGTTGAGCACGAAGAAGTCTCTTAAACTTGCAAAGTTAACGCAGACGAACAATGTTAATCGCGAGACGACGGATTTCATCTGATTTCATACTAGAGACACACCAGGTAAAAGTCCATAACCTATGACAGCGAAATGAGGTTTTTGCAGGCTATGCGGGCGGAATACGAGAGAAACTCGCCAATCTCGACGCGAAACACAACGCCGGATCGCTCAAAAGTGGTCGGGCCGCGCGTGAACATGAATTTCACCAGGTGGTGGCGAGTTTTTTCAGCGTCAACCACTGGTCCTGCCCGAGAAGGCCCATACGCTCGCGGAGACGGGCTGACGCGTTCGTCTGATTTCCACGTACGGGACGCAGCGCCGACCACCGAGAACGGCGTCCCGCGTGCGCGACGATCGTTACGTACCTTCATCTACCCCTTCAGCACAAACGAGACGCGCGGAAAGTTGTTACCGAGTGAAAATTTTCGCGTAAACAAAACTACCTTGACAAACACGAATCCTCCATTTATCAACTGCACCGATCGTGCGCCAAACGGAGCTTCCTGATTGGCCGAAACTTCCCGAAGCAGCCGACGCGACGTCGCACCGAGAGCGCAGGACACGCAATTGCCACAAGCGCACGTCGATAGGGAATATTATCTGGGCAGCGAACGCGTAACTTTTCCCCTAGAGCGGAAACGTGAAAATTAAGGCCATTGCACATAACAAAGTTTTAAGCTAAGGCTACATCTATCGTAATGTTCATCGTAAGCGGTCGTAACGCTCGTCGTAATCGCTATCGTAAGCTCATCGTATGAGTTGATTCAGCTTGAACTCTTTACAATTACGACGCTTGTCTGGCGTTACAACATAACCTAACCTGTCAGCTTTCTCGACGTGCGAAGAAAAATGTGTATCGGCTCTGCTAGGGTGCTAGGTCTACAATGAGAGTCGTAAAAATTGACCAATCGCAGTCAATTATTCTTCTCAAATTCGATTGTAATTGGTCAATTCTTACGACTCACGACTTTACGACTCGCATTGTAGACCTAGCATTAAGGCCCGGGCACATAGAAAAACTTAAAGCATTAAGTTATTAAGACGCTAATACGGCTCTTAGTGATTGGTTCATGACATCAAGATTGAACTTAAGGGGATCTCCTAAAGCCGTCTGTAATACCGACAATCGTACTTTTCGCTTTATTTTTTATTGGCTTTATGGATTTGAAAAAATCTTGCACAGAATTAAAGTATGTGCTCTACTCTGTGGACGACCACCAATTTTGTAACAAAATAAGTAAATAAGATAATAAACAAAAATCCACTTTAACAATATTTGCTTCGTATAAAAATTCTACAACTTGATGTTACAAAATGAGGGTGCAGGTCCATTCAGTAGACATCAAGGAATATCATGCCGTTTGTAGAATTAGGCTGAGACTCCAAACAAAAAAGTTAAGCGAAAAGTACGATTACGTGAACGTAATGGGTGCGTTCAGCCAATACTCCGCTAGCCTAGCAATCGTGAGCAGTCGCTCGTTTTCGCTCGTTTTCTCTCCTTTTAATCCATTGGGTCAAAAGAGAGGAAACGAGCGAAAACGAGCGACTGCTCACGATTGCTAGGCTAGCGGAGTATCGGCTGAACGCACCCAATGGCCTAGTTTACATCGATCTCTTGATACGCGTATTAAATAGTAAATAACTAGTAAATTAGTTTGATTATTGGCTGATCAGTTTAAATATACTATTTGATACGCGTATCAAGAGATCGGTGTAAACCAGGCCAATGTACGTGATGACACCGGACCAGCAGTATTGCGTGTAGCGAGAGATGGCGCAGCAATCGAAACAAGGACAGATGCCTCTCGTTAGACAAAGACAGATATAGATATATGACATAGAAAACAGGATTAGAAATGTTGACATTACCGAGGAAATTCAGGCTTCGCTTTAGGATCCCCTTACGACGGTCTTAAATAACTATGAATACCGGCCTTAGTCATAATCGTAAGGCCGTAAGAAAATAGACCAATCACAGTCATTTACTCTCCTTGAGTTCGTAGAATAATCGAGTGTGATTAGTTTATTTTCTTACGGCATTAAGGCCATTGCACGTAACAAAGTTTTAGTTTTAATCGTAAGGCCGTAAGAAAATAGACCAATCACACTTGATTATTCTTCAAGCGCGAAAAGAATAATTGACTGTGATTGGTCTATTTTCTTACAACCTTACGATTATGACTAAAACTTTGTTACGTGCAATGGCCTTTACGATTATGATTAATGGCGTTTTCGATTTGCGATTCAAACCGACTCGGGTCGCATCATGTATACAGGATTTTAGCATTATTGACGTGGAATACATACGTATGTATGTAGGTATTCCACGTCCATTTTGTTGCGACCCGAGTCGGGTCGAGTAAATCGAAAACGCTAAATGCTGGGTCTACAATGCGAGTCGCAAAGTCGTGAGTCGCAAGAATTGACTAAGGCCCGGTCTACAATGGATGTCGGAAGTCGGAGTCGTAAGAAATTAACCAATCACAATCTATTATTCTCCTTGCGGTCGAAGAATAATGAACTGTGATTGGTCAATTTCTTACGACTCCGACTTCCGACATCCATTGTAGACCGGGCATAATCACAGTCGAATTTGAGGAGAATAATCGACTGTGATTGGTCAATTCTTGCGACTCACGACTTTACGACTCGCATTGTAGACCCAGCATAATACTTAGGCTGCGTTCCTTTTGACGCTTTCAGCGCTGAAAGCGTCGCTCCATCTCTATTTGATATTCAATGTGCAACGGAGATAGAATAATGCTTACAGCGCTGAAAGCATCAAAAGGAACGCAGCCCTAGCATTACGTTCTACGAAAGTTGTGTGTGTCGGGCCCTAAAGGTTATTCTACATAGAAGTCGTAATCGTGAGTTGTAAGAAATTGACCAATCACATTCGAAGTTGAGGAGAATATTCAATCTGTGATTGGTCAATTTCTTACAACTCACGACTACGACTTCTATGTAGAATAATCATAATGCGGGTCGTGGGTCGTGGAAAATTGACCAATCACAGCCGAATTTGAGGAGAATAATCGCCTTGGTGCCACTCAATCACGAAAAAAAAAGAAAATCGGGTTTTAATGGATCTAGTAGCACGTGTATGGTAGTTCCCGCAGAAATGTCGAGTACCGTTTATGCTTGCCATAAAATTCATTGTTATATTTCAATAGTATTAGTCGGTTACAATCAAAATTTTTTCAATTACTTCCGATTTATCTAAGAAATATTCAGGAGTCATGTCAGACGGCATCACTGAGAGGAAGAACAATTTGTTCGAAGGTGAATAATCAACGATTCTTTTTTAATTATGAAGGAGAGAGGCTTCCTCACCAATTTGGCTAAAACTTCACAATTTTGTGTATTTTGGTGCGTAAAACATGAATCTATAAGTTAAAATTGTCGCTCTCAATTAAGAAAAAAGTTATTAAGTACTAAAGTTGATACTTGCGTGGTTAGGAGATGTCTGTCATTTATTATACTTTGTATTTATAAACTAGAAGAGTTTCAACTATTCTCTTCTTTAACAAAAAACATAAATTATTACTTTCTTTGGAAAATATGGAAAGTTGCAGTTCTGTTGTACTGAATATGCCACAAGATATTGAATTAAATGGTTAAAAAAGATAATAGAAATAGAGTTATTATACTTTTTTTAAAGCAGAAAATAAAATTGGCATATTGGAAAGTCTATAAATACAAAGTAGCCAAATTGGTTAGAAAACCCCTCTTCTTCATAATTACCATTCTTTGAAACCAGCAATTATCTCACTTAATTACCAAAAATATATTATGATTTTTATGATAACGACGTGAGTATGAATTATGACAGTTGTATGTTATAGATTTTTACAAAACCGACAACTTTGATGATAGCGAGTTGCAGGCTCGATTGTATGAAGGAATCTACTATGATTTCTCGATTCAAACTGATTCGGACATTAAAGGTGATTCAAGAACCACAGATGCTCCAAGGATGATTCAACTTGATAGCATGACCACTGAGACGAATGTTAAATCAGACATGCTGCAACACGAATCTGAAGAGCAACCTTTGGCATCTAAAACCACTGGAGGTAAAGCTAGTAAAACTAAGAAGTCGAAAATATTAATAGAATGTTATGATTAGAATACTTTAAAAAAGAATTCCATTGAATTGCAGAACAATTAATTTGCAATAATATGTATATACGATATTCAGCAGATTCTCAGACGATGCCCTCTACAGATCGGACAGAATTTACTCAAATCAATACATTGGCTGGTAGAGAGATGAATCCTTCGGCACATGGATGTGACAATGGAAGTCCAGAAGATCTTCTAGTTACACAAGGAAAGGAAAACGAAGAAAATTCTTCTAAAAATTATAAATCTTCCAAATATATGAAAAATGAACATCAAGAAAGCTTTGAGAAAGACCATAATGATACAGCATATTCAAAGTACAATGTTGTTTCGAAATGTGTGAAGAAACAGAGGCTTTCAGCCAAACAAACCGATAAAGATGAAGACAATTCCGACTCTGAAGAATCCATATGTGAAGTACCTATTCCACCAAAACCAGAACCGCCGCTCATAGATTTGCAAGATTCTGATGAAGAAACCAATACAAGTTCAGGGATAGATTTGATTTTGAAAAAATGGAAGAACATTGCTTCAACAAAAACAAATTCAAGAAGTACTTCAAATCATGAATTAGAAGTCATAGAAATATTAAGTAGTCGTCAGAATACATCTTTCAAAAGTAAGAATACCGATACAATAAATCCCGATAAAAGTATCCAAACATCAACTTGTGTGCAAGAAGTTACAGAAGATATTGTTTTGAATTGTACAGCAATTCAGAGAGGCGCTAAAAGTGTAAGTGAAATTAAGCAGTTGTCCAAAAGTACCGTGGCAAATCAAGGAAGTAAATCAATTGAGGATAAAAATCAAAACTGCAAAAAAAAATCACCTCAGAATAAGTTGAAAAGAAATAACGAAAATAATACTAATCTTCAACAAGAAATGTCTGTAATATCAGGAAAAAAATCACAAATAAGGATGCAACAAAATATTGACAAAAGTAATGTATACAATGTTAGGCATACAGATCAAGACAATACAAACTATGGATTGCGTGACTCGGGACTGGAGTCATGTAATCCAGCAATAGACGGGAAGAGACAATGCAATAACGAGGTTGACAACCATCCTAAACAAAAGCGACAGTGCACGATACAGCAGAATAACGAAGACGTTATGCCGCAAGATAACAATGGTGGAAAAAAAAAGAACGCAATGTGTAACGAGTCAATATCGGAGGAGATGAGACATTACTACAACTCGAGTCATGGCCAAGAGAATTTTGACGTTGGAAAGTTACAGCAAGGGATGTCAAAAGATCCACGAATGTGGGCGATCCTCGATGAAGACTTAATGCCGTGTCCCTCTAGCAGACGTAGATTTTGGAACGTCAAATGCACTAATTGCCATCAGGAAGGCCACCAGCGCTATGATTGTTTATCACCACGTAGAATATCGTGTTGCCACATGTGCGGTATGAAGGGCCACATGGAGTTTCGATGCCCGCAGAAGATGTGCATGACATGTGGTAAGCAGCAGAACACATTTCGTAACACGTGTGAATATTGTCGCGTTCTATACTGTACTATGTGTAATTCGGTAGGACATGAACAAGAGCAATGTCCTGATCTTTGGCGACGATACCATCAGACGATCGACATGAATAGTGCACCGCAGGACCTGGGTAACGTGATGAAGCCATCGAGATTGTTGTATTGCTGTAATTGTGCCAAGCGCGGTCATGAATCGTCCACATGCAGGGAATATCGATGGTCTGAGAACTTTCCTACTCCAGCTGTCGTCACAAATTATACAGATGGGCCCACATATGGCTCATGCGCGCCAAGTTCCTCTGGATCTAATCCCGAAACTGATTTCTTGCCGTCTGGCGCGACAGGAAGTAAAACATTGATTCCACCAAATTCTACTAATATACAACATGCAAGGACCGAAGACGTGGAACCTTCTGCCAATATAGACACGTTATCATCACGTATTAATTTTTATATTCTACCAAAAGAAGCTGAGGACATTTCACAAATGGAAGAAAATTCTTCTCCCGCAGTAATTAATATTTGGCCCATAAGAACGAAGCTCAGACAAACCAAAGTAAATAACGTAAAATTTATTGACATTATATATTCCTATGGTCATTTTCGCAACAAAAATCACCAGGACGCGCGGATGATTTTGAAAAATCTTAGTATGTATTTTTGTAGCAGAAAACCTATGTTAAAGAGTTTAATAAACCGCAAGGTTGCTCCGGTTTTTCTTAACACATTGCTTGAGAAACCAATAGAGTTTGAAGTGAAGATAGGCTTTACCAATCGTCGGAATCTACAATTACACTTACTAGGAATGAAAGAATATATAGAGGAGTTGTATGATTTGTTGAGGTATTGGCTTAACCTCCGAGATGATGAGAAAGATTATGGGATAGACGTGACTACTCCACCTATAAATCCTATAAAGATGTTCAACTTCCTGAATTCAAGAATGCCGCAACTCGAGAAAATGCGTTTCACATGTTATGCTGAACATATAGGAGGAATGAATGATCCGCGATGGATTTATAGTTGTATAAACAATGAGAAAATTAAGTTAGTACAACACGAAAAGAATACGAAAATATATAATCAGTCGCGAAAAAAGTTGTGGCGATTGCAAACCAGGCTTCTGATGATTGCCAATACGGAATCTGAACCAAATCGTTTAGTACGTATGTTTCAACTTTTTATGAGGAAATTCGAATCGGATCGACATCTGATGGGCGAAAGACTTGACACTTCCACTTATCTCAGACTTATTTTGCTTTACAATCAGCTATTTGTACCTCACACATCGGAGAACGTACGGAACATGTTACGTCGCATCGAGTTTGAGGAAAAGAAGAAGAATGATGAGAAAAATTCACAGCAGATGCAGCAGGAGATAACGGTACGTGACCAAGGAAACGTTGTGTACAATGTATATTCTTCATCCACGGCATCTTGCGTTCCACAGAACATCAACTTCGAAAATTATTCCGCAATTAATCAACAGAATAATGAAATATTAGTTGAGGGACAAAATATGAACAATATTGCGCTTGAGACGAGCAAAACAACGGATCGCAGTTGCGATGAGATAACAATATATTCTTCTACGCAGGATTCTAAGATTATTATGCCATTAAATATCGAGCCCGTGTCGCTTAAAGATTATGAAAGAAACGAAAGTCAATTATCAACAAGCGAAGTAAACATCGAACCTAATCTATTTGAAAATAAACGGAACATAAATGTGAATAACATGGTACACATACCACGTTTGACGAAAACACACAAAAAGAGATTAAAAAAATTAAATATCAAAATAGAGAATAGTATAGCTACAGCGGTAGGTCTTATAAGAAAGGCTCGTGCTTTTAAAGTACCACATATGATGAATGCAGCAGACGAAATGCAAAGACGGATTAGGAATCAGACAATTAGGCCCAAGCATATCAAGACGTTGTCTAAATTGGTTTTGATAGAGGAGAAATATCAAAAAGAGGTAAATGTATATTGCAAAAATTTGTAAAAGTAGTTTCTAAAAATTAATTACACGCTCGTTCAGTAATACAATGATATCACCGTCTGACATGCATCCGTATAATGTACGAAATGGTTTGGGAAGACATTCTGTACATTTAAATTGCATATGGAAAAATGTTTGTGTTGAACGATATCAAACAACCTGACAAATGTATAATATATTTGATAGAGGACAGAATATATATTATGGCAAAACTTGTAAAATATTTTACAAGTACACACAAAATTTAACCATATATATTATACTCCTTGCTATGTGAATCATTCTCGATGATTGTAAAACAACATTTTGAAATATTATTTGTTTTATGTTACACGCTACAATAAAATAAGTCAATTATTTTTTTTGTAATGCTATATTTTTGGACAAATTATTAAAGAATTCTGCCAATTTATGCTTACTTTATTATATTCATTAGCAATGAAACAATGAAAAGTATACCTTAAAATATTTATTTTGTAGCATTTCTGTCACATCTTATATAATTAACATTAATAATAATTAATTAATGATTTTATCTTGTTTTGAAAATTCTAATGTTCTAATGTTTTAACACGCTTATCATTAAACATTTTACTATTGTATTTATATAGCTATCTTGGCAATATAAAATTTTAAAATTTAAAATTTCAGACTGTTCAAATTGCATATTTTACTTGGTGCTTCCACTTTTTAAATTATTATTGTTATAATTTATTGCGCTAAATGAGTGATATAAAGATGTATACTATATGAAAATTGTTAGTTACATTTGAAAAAAAATTCATGAATCATTTAGATACAAATCAATGTTATAAACAACAAATGTTATAGAAAGTTCCAAATTGTAGTTAGTGTTACGGTTTGTACAGAATTCTTAAATAATGTATGCAATTTAGTGTATGTGTAATATATCACTCTAGTAATCACGTTCACAACCAAAGTTCGGTTTGGTTTCAATCGAATCCAACATGACACACAAGAGATAAATGTCCTTAGTCTGATTGTTATTTCTTCATTGGCGGTGGGCCGACCATTGGAGGCGGCGGTCCATTCATCGGTGGTCTCATGTGTCCCATAGGACCTATAGGGCCCATCATAGGACCCATCGGTCCCATCGGTCCCATCATAGGTGGTCTCATACCCATCATAGGAGGTGGCATCGGTCCATGCGGTCCCATCATCATCGGACCTCCTGGCCCCATCGGACCAGCTGGATGCATACCCGGCGGTGGCATCATTCCCGGAGGTCCCTGTGGCGGTACTCCGGATCTTGAGCCAAGGTTGGAGCCGAGGTTCGGCGGCGGTGGTATCGCCGCGCCCTTGTTGGCCGCAAAAGGGTTGGAGGCAATCTTACCGGCCTTGAAAGCGGCCGTCGTCGCGTCGATCAAATGCTGGGCCTGTTCCTCCATCCATTTCTGGTAGAAATACTTTACATTATCCTTGTGCTTACGACCCTGGCAATGGGTCTTCCGTACGCTCGGCGAGTCATGTGTTAAATAAGTGTCACAGTAGTCGCAATAGTATTTCGGCATCGATGCGCCTATCGATAAATTACGCTGAGCTGCTAAATCAATGCAACCTTCCGAATTTTTCTCGATTTAAATTGCAATTGCTGAGAGAGAGAGAAAGACTAGCCAACACTAGAAACTTCTAGGTTATGTGCAATATATGGGGTGCGTTCGGTTTGGACGCTCACGCGCTGTAAGTTACTCACGTTCACGTCGCACGTCGTTCGGTTTGGCGTTGTAGGCTGCGTTTCGCTATTCACTCGCAGTACTGGCAGCACTGTAAATCTGTTCCAATATACGCGGCAGTAAGCTGTCAAATGTCAAAGCGTTTTCGTGTTCATGTGACGTCTAGATATGGCTGCGTTCGGGGAGCGCGCTATTAGCGCTATTGCATCATTCTATCTTTATCGCTCATCAAGTGTAGAACAAGGATAGAATAAGCAAATAGCGCTAATAGTGCGCTCCCCGAACGCAGCCTTTGTCGTCACTCCCTACTTTCATTACTGCGGCTCGCGAGGTGAGGCATCGCAGTAAGAACATGGAGGCTATGGCGGCACCTTTGAAAAAATTGGTCCTACCTATGTGAACCTTGCACCCGACTTTCGAAAAATTAATTTTTTTGCGGAAAACGTTAGCATTTGGTTTGTAGTTGTTTGTAGTAACAAAAATTTCGTTTGTAGTTTAATACATTAAAAATTATAAACATTTAAAAAATTACTCGCACCCCACTTTGAGATAATTGAAATCCGCTTGCGCCATCTTCTTCAAAATTGTTTGTAGTTGTTTGTAGTGCTTTTCTTTTTGTTTGCAGTTGCACTGTTCAAAGTTTTTAAATTTTTGCAATAAACAAAAAGAGTAACTTTGCCAATTTTGGAGATAT